AACAACAAAAATGACTATGAGAAAACAGGATCACAAACACTAGTGTCAGCAATACGAATGTCACAATGAGTCCCTAGAGTATGGACTCTATGGAGTAGTGAAAATTTAAAGCAGTATGAACTAAACAGGAGGGACGAACCTGGCTACACCCGTGCAAGTGCACACCTCAACTAAACAGATAAATAGGGCAGATTTGGCCACAGTGGGCACAGAAAAAAAGAGGCCTAGAGTACAGGAAAGCCGCTAGTTTACACCATCCTCAGTGCATTCTGGCCTGATTGTAGCCGGAACGCACTGGATCGCATTCCAGCCGGCTCACTTTGTTTTGGGGCAGGAGGGGGCATGGTGGTGCATTGAACTCAATGGCACCGCAGCCAGCCCTCTGGCCGCATTGTGATTGCCTCTGTGAGCAACATATTTGTGCCTAATAATGCCTACCTACGTCACGGCCAGCACCGCCCAGTTGTTGTTGTTTAATAACAGATCAGCGTCCCCAGGTCATTTGGGGACGCTGATCTGTCATTACAACTGGGCGGAGCCAGCCGTGAGATCTCGGCTGACTCTGCCCAGCTGTCATTTGCATGGTGAACAGCCGGCCTTTGGCAGAAACATATGCCTTCGGCCCGGCTTAGCGGCTTGGCCACCTTTGGCTGCAGTACGGGCTATTGTGAATAGCTCGTACAGCAGCCTTTCGGGTCGATCAGCCGAAGCTATGGCTGTATCCTTCGGCTCAATACCGTAGTAAATAACCCCCGTGGTCCTATTCAATTGTCACCTGAATAAGTGTGCCCGTAGGAAGATTTCCCCTCTTTTCCTGTTTCAGTGACAACTCAAAAATAGATTTTTCCTCACTTTCAGTCCTGGTGACAATGGTCACCAGGAAAGTGGAGAGAGCAATTTGGAGTGTTGTATTGCACGTGCGTGAAGCTATACGAGCAAAATGGAGAGAGCAAATTGAGGACATGGTATGTTTGCTATATCCTCCATTATGAATGAATGGGAAGTGATCTACATCACCTCCTGTTCATTCATAGTTGTGGTTATAGTAAACACACTATGTTCTCAAGTTATGAAGGAACAGGAACACTCAGTATACAGGATTCCTGTTCATTGATAACAGGGGATACAGAAAAACAGATTGAGGACTTTGTGTCCTCAATCTCTTTTTCTATTGTAAACACATAATCATCTTGAATAGAACAAGACAATATAATTTAAAATTATATGGATTCTCATGTGTACATACATGATACAAGAATGTTTTCAAGGTTAATGTAGTTCATTAATATTTCAATTTAAAAAAATTGAATATTCATTTAAACTGTGATGCACTCTAATGACTTTATACTTAAGTATGAACATTTAGAATTGTGTCAATGTATTGAGTTAAAACTAATAATTAAGTAAGCTATGTTTTTTTATTAAATTAATACACTGGAATTAACTTCAAACATCTATAAACTGCAACTTTTTGTTGCAGTTTATAGATTTATTTTATATATAGAGAAACAACCAATATGTAAATATCTCTAATGACGTATTAAAGATTTGATTCTAGTCAGGAAGAATGTGGCTAGCCTGATCTCAAACATTACTTATCAAGATAGACAGACTTTTAAAATAAAGAATTTACAAAAAAGCCTACAAAATTGACTGGCAAACATGTTGCTTTTAACAACTACATGTACCTACAGAGTGTACATCCATTAGGCAGCTTAGAAGTCATCTCACAGGACTTTTGGGGTAATAGTGTTACAGCAATATTAAGCTTACAGTTCATTGAGTGCTCATTTAGTGATCCTTATACTCATGGTCCTTTCTACATTTCAGTGGTTCCTCTCAACCATACAACTACATCACTACTATTGGTTAAACTCAATGAACCTATGTATTTTTTCAACCTGACTAATTGTGTACCTATGTAAGGTACCTATGTATGTCTACCTCCTGTAGTGACATGGGGGTCAGTGGGAGCCACCATTCGGTGCATCAGGGGACAAAAGAGATCAACACTCCCAGTAGCTTCAGTTTCTGAAGAGACTTCAGCCAGTGGTTTCTATTGATGATGTTTTATTTACACATTCATAGTCTAAAGTGTTAGCTTTCTTTCTAACATACCTATATCTTCCAAAAAGGGATAGATGATAACCAGGATAAGATAGGAATACTATTCTTTATAATAATAACTATTTTATATTACTGTAAACTATACTCAATAGGAAAGGCTTGAATGTTTTGCTATACTGTTGTATACTATGCAAATATTTAGATGATTCAAAGTCAACGGTGTATGGCATTTAGGCATGAGAGGCTCTAGAAAACCTTTCACTAAAATTAGTTTTTTTTAAATTCTAAAATGCTGTATATACTCTTTTTCATTGTGTTAGCTCTCTTCTGTTCACCTCCTGGATTGTGTTAAAATGGATTAGCAACTATCTAAGCTTAACCCATTTCAACCCACAATGTATCTAAACATTCCCCAGCACAGGGCATTATTTGGGTGATCCAATACCCACTTTTATATTCTATATACTACTGTTTTATATTATAACGTTAACAAAAACAAAACAAGGAATACAAAAATAAATAGAGAATTCACTTAAAGATAGGATGGAGTAATATTAACCAGAATCCATTAGTTTGAATAAAACATTTTAAAGGTTTGTTGTCAAGCATGTAGGTAGGGGCTTAAAAGTACTTAGATTTGCCAGCTGGTATTGGTTGTCCTAATGAGAGGTTTGGAGAAAGATTGTACCATTACTATTGATTTAATGTTAATGTAGCTTTTATTGTGTAGACATCCTAGAGGAGCTAACTGAATATGAATCATGCATTCCACTTGAATACTGCTGGATTCTCTATTTTGGTAAGTTTTATATTCATTGACTTTCTGAAGGCGAACAGACCTTTCACACCAATCCAAAAGAAGATTTTAGGTTCTTAATAATGATGAATGTATGATGATGATGTTGTTATAAGCAGACAACAAGTGGCACGAGTGCCAGTGGTGTTAATACCGTGCAAGCAGAACTGGGGTAATCCAAAATCCAGGGTCAACAGGCCGTGGTCACACCGAGCAGGCAGAGAAGGTACACAAGGATGAGGCAAAGGCAGTCCAGTCCAGACAATCCGTGGTCGAGGGCAGGTGGCAGGCAAGAATGGTCAAACAATCCGTGGTCAAAGGCAGGCTGCAGGCAAACAAGGTCAAAGTAAATCCGGGTCGAAGCAAACAGGCAGGAATCACAAGAAACTGGGAACAAGGAACACAGGACTTCAGGGCGGTTGAAGAGACAATCCAGCAATGAGGAAGTGTGCAGGATGAGCTTAAATAGGGAAGCCAATAGATCAAGAGCGTCACTTCCTGTGCGCCATCTGGCGTGCTTTTCAGCGCCGGGTCCGTGGCGCGTGCATGCGCGCAAGTGTCCTCCGCATAGTACGGGAGACAGAACTTGGCGCATGCGCAGAAGCAGCGGGTTTCTGACAGTTATGAGTGTGTATCATTTTAGGTAACACACGCATAAAGCGAACATTTTTATATTGATTTATTAACAAAATGTACAAAGCTGTCCATAGGCATACTATATGCAGCAACTGTAACATCCTCTCTGCTTTCATGTATCGCCCCACTGTAAGCGAGCACGGGAGAGCCTGAAGTGATCATCTGAGAGAAGTCATCTGTAGTTGGGACACAGAAGTCTGGTGCTTAGTACCCACTAATTTATACACCACATGATGAATCATATGCTCTGCCCTTTTTCCAGGGAGAGAATGCACAGCAGAGAACACCACAATTGCAGTCCTCTGCTGTCCTGTCTCTTATAAGGTGTAACAGGGCAATGACACAGGCAAACAAAAGTCCCCAGCTGACTTCCTTTCACTTTGCACACAGCTATCTTGTCAATATCATGGGGTTGTGCCTACCACTGGTGACATTTTTGTCACCAGTGGTAGGCATGGGCTTTCCTAAAAGATGGCGTCAAAGCAGTGGCTGGGATTTGTTAAACACCCCCTCAAGGTTGTAGACCTTGACTTTACCCCACTAGTTACAGTTGACCAGTTGATTAAAAAAAAGCACTGTATTGAACCATCGAATGACAGGCATATATGAGAGAAGAAAAGCTTAGTTGGCATCTGATCAGTAGCAGAAGCCTAAGTAAAGGTAGAAAACAGAAACTGGGTACCAAGCCAAATGTGTAACCAGAATAGAAAATAGGATTGCCAGGATAAATATTGGAGCCCACCAAGATCTGAAAGAGTGCACCAATCAGAATTTGTATTTCTACCTGGGGATGTCATATAACCTCCTTGTTTACACTGACTGATGGCTCTTCTAAACCAAAGGGAAAGATGCAGGCATTAGATTTGGATGTCCGGGCAGTGGCTGGTTTCTTATAGTCTATAAGGATCTTAGAAAATAAATGACACACCTTTCCATCCAAAGGAAAAAAAAAACCACAAAAGAGCAAACAAGGTTTATATTATGATTTTACAAAATGTAGGACCAGATACACCAAGACCACCATACAAGAATATATGATGAAAATGTGAAGACTGAACAGAAATCCATTTGTTTCCAAGACAACCCTGAGCTTTCCCTACTCTGCCCTCTTTTGCTGTAAACAAGTAGTAAGGGAACAGAACGTGTTTAATTATTTTAGCAGTACAAAATAAGTTATTTTGTCTGCACAACCTTTTGAAATATTTCAAAGCCGAAAACGTCTTAGAAGTTAGTAGTTGGGTAACAGTCAGAAGCCGGGGTAGAGGGAAGAGTATTAGAGAGACTAGTCTTGAGCATTTACACCCCAATAAATATACCCGTTTGCATGATGTTGGGGATATCAGCTCAGGGGTAGCATTGCTAGAGCAGAATATTTCCCTTAGCTGCCAGGAAAGTGACTGCTCCAGTATAGAGGGGAGCAGGGACACAAGCAAGGACAGACAGATCCTGAGATCCTGGTGGTAGGGGATTCTATTAATAGGTTAACAGACAGGGTAATCTGTCACAAAGAATGCGATCGCCAAACCGTATGTTTACCGGGCGCTCGGGTTCGGCAAATTGCGGATCGGATGGACAGATTATTTGGTGGAGCTGGGGAAGACCCAGCTGTCATGATACACGTTGGTACCAATGACAAAGTTAGGGGAAGATGGAGTGTCCTGAAGAAAGATTCTTGGGACTAGGGACTTGGGTGAGACATGGTATATATATGTATATGTATGTATATATATGCAGACCATCCCCAATTAGATGTAGCGGGCCACTCCCCTGTATACATCTAATTGGGGAAGGTCTGCACCCCAGCACTTCCACATTGTTTGATCGACTCGATCGTTCTTTGAGGCAGTGCTGGTGCCGATGTGCCTGGTCGTTTGGCTTTGACATCACGCTGACGGGAGGAGGGACCACCATCCTGTGGGTGTGAGATGGGACGGCGGGGCTAACCCACTAGCGCCGTCCCATCAGGCTGACGGTCCCGGGAGGAGGAGTCCGTTACACGGGCCACCCCCACTTGTCGGATGCGCCTATTTAGGGCGCATGTGCGTACCTAGTGCTCGCCCCGGCCGCACACGTCACACGCCGATACCTCGGGACGGCGTGTGTGTCTGTGGAGGGAATTTCCAAGACGCGGGAGACCCGGGGGCTCGGGGAATGGGCCAAATTTTCTCTGGACGTATGAGAAGTTCCTATTACACCCACAAGGTACATAATTGATGACCTAGGTTATACTTAATTTTTTTATCTTTATGATTAGAATGGCTTTTTGCTTCTTTGATTATTACTTACAGAATATACTTTTTCAATCTATACCAATGAGGACTAGCTTAAACAGTACTCGATACATTTAGACCACTATAAAGAAAATGGAACCATTTGGATCAATAGACGATCTAGGGTATAAATGATTTATAGTGAAGTTATGTAAGTTATATTGACACTATTGGCCACTGGTATGGATACAAAACCATCACCTACTTAGGCGAACTCTATTAAACAACAGACATATATGCATATTCATGTGCCTGGCAGGACCCAGGCTTCCTTGTCCTATCAAGCTACATGTGATATCCTATATATATACTGTATATATATATGACAGTATACCTAGTGGAACATTGGATTCTATTTATTCTATAGGTGGCTAAAGGACAGATATGGGAGCCTGCCATTTCCGCTTCCCCTTGGCATCTCCGTACCTTGTGTTCCTGCGTGAGTGGAGGGGCTTCCCCAGATGCGAGTTTTTCTCACCATCATCATATATCTCATTCATGGTATTTATTTATGTATTTATTTATTGATCTATATTAATTAATTGTCATCAATGGTTAATGGTTATGTCCAAATATTGACTGCTTACAATCATATTCATATAGAATTCACAGGCTACCTCTATTAACTTCCTGACGAAGCTACGGCGAAACGCGTCGAAGAAAAGGAAAAATACAGATTATTATTCTATGGAATTTGCATTAATATGATGAATAATGTGTTTATTGACTTTTAAGTAATGAATCAATATAGAAACGATTAATTACTACTATTATGCATATTAATCTATGATTTCCATAGAGGTGACATGCCGTTTATGTAGTAATGTTTTAAAATGAATATGAGATGTTTTATTTACCTTGTCAATCATGTATTTACTTTATTAAAAATTAATTTTATTATATTGATGAATTTTTTGACATTATGTTTAACCATACTCCCTGGCATTATTTAGTAGACACTTTTAAAGCCCCATCTTTTCTTTTCTCTTTTTTGATTTACGACTGTAATCAGGGGTGTGGTGTCTCCAATTTAGTGCTGATCCCTAACTATCTCTTTTTACTACAGGAATTTCCAATGACAAGGCGAAGCACAGGACAGACTGTAGACAGGGATAGCCAAGGATAAGCCAAAGGTTCAGTACAGGGGCAAACTTCCAGGAATTCAGGTTCAATCGCAAATGGGGGGCTTGGCATCTAGCTTGGGAAAGCGTTGCTCGGGCAGTGCGCCCTGGGTTTAAATAAAACAGGAAGAGGGAGGATCCACAGGATTGGCCACAAGCAGACTGCACTGATTGGCCCAGAAGGTGCATAAGAAACAGCAGGAGAGGTTGGCCGACGCCTAAAGCTGCCAGACTGGTGCAAGAGTGAGTCAGGTTCAGAGCACATGCCTGGAGGACTACAAGCAACAGCACAGCCCTGCATGTCTGCAGAACCAGGGGTAAGAGGTCTGCATATGCTTGTAGAACTACAAGTAACAGCTCAGCTGCAAGTCTGCAGCTGAACTGTGACAGAAAAAACGCCCTTGGTCCTTAAGGGGTTAAGAAGGATCCGGGAAGGAAGAAGTGGGTAGATGTATGCTTGTATGTCAGAAATAACCTGGCAGTGAATGTGCAGGATGATATAGCACAGGAGAGAGGGGATAAGGCAATGAATGGAAAAAAAGAGAAATTACTGGTAGGAATATGCTACAGGCCTCCGAACGTGGGAGAGGAGGAAGAGACTAATCTATGGTCACAGATAGCAGTAGCGGGAAAGCAAGGTAATGTCATAATTATGGTGGACATTAATTATCCAGATATAGATTGGGCAACAGAAACAGCTACCTCAAGAAGGGCACGTCACTTCTTGAACATTCTCCAAGATAATTGTTTTGGTACAATTAGTAGAATCGCCCTATAGGAAAAATGCTCTGCTGGATTTAATAGTTACAAACAACTCAGAGCTAATTGCAGATGTGGAAATCGGGGAGAACCAAGGGAGCAGTGACCCCAGAATGATAACTTGCACAGTTAATTCCAGGAAACAGACATATCGGCACGACGCGAACACTCAATTTCAGGAAGGTTAACTTTGATAAGCTGAGAAACCTACTAGCAGACATAAATTGGGATGCAGTCTTCCTGAATATGAACACTGATGAGAAATGGAATTGTTTCAAGGAAATCTTAAACAACAACATTGGCCAGTGCATTCCGTTTACCAATAAATTCAAGAAAGTGAAAGTTAGACCAGGATGGTTAACTAGCAAGGTAAAACAACACATAAGCGAAAAGGACAAGGCCTTCAAAAAATATAAGTCAGAGGGGTCAATATCGGCATTCAAAAACTACAAGGATTGGAACGAAAAATGTAAAAGAGCAATTAGGTCTGCAAAAATAGAATACGAGGAGCAGATAGCAGCAGAAAAAAAAAATTCTTTAAATATATAAATAGCAAAAGGGTAAGGACAGAACATGTATGCCCAATAATGGACAAAGAGGGGAGGTTAGCTAGCAGTGACAGGGAGAAAGTGAATGCGTCAAACAAATTCTTTTCTTCGGTTTTTAAAGATGAGATGGACATGGGTAATGGCCAGGGCATCAGCTGCAGGAACAATAATAAAAGTTTTAAAGTATCTCAGTGGGTGTCAGAGAGCAGAGTAGTACAGAGGCTAGGAAGATTATATGTAAACAAATCCCCAGGACCGGATGGGTTACATCCAAGGGTACTAAAGGAACCTAGCCAGGTAATAGGCAGACCACTCCACATAATCTTTATGGACATTCATGACTGGCATGGTACAGGATGATTGGCAGAGAGCAAATGTGATACCAATATACAAAAAGGGGAAACAGAGTTCACCGGGTAACTATAGACTAATCAGTTTAACGTCAATAGTGTGCAAAATATTCAAATGCATGATAAGGGACTACATGCAGGAATTTGCAAATAAAACTGGTATTATAAGTAGAAACCAACATGGCTTCATGAAGGACCATTCGTGTCAGACCAATTTATTAACATTTTATGAGAAAGTCAGTATTAATTTGGACAGAAGAATACCACTAGACGTGGTGTATCTAGACTTTGCTAAAGCATTCGATACAGTGTCCCACAAGCATTTGATTAACAAACTGAGGTCTGTCGGGTTGGAGAAAATTATATGTACATCTGTGGAAAACTGGCTGCAAGAACGGACCCAGAGGGTAGTAATAAATAGGTCATCGTCTAATTGGGCAAAAGTCAGAAGTGGGGTGCCCCAGGGGCTGGTCCTGGGACCAATCTTGTTTATCCCTTTCATTAACGACATAGAGATAGGGATGATAGTTCGATTTCAGGGAAGACGGACATGCAGAAAGACCTGGGGGTGCTCAAAGATCGCAGATTTGGTAATAGCATGCAATGCCAAGCTGTGGTCAACAAAGCAAACAGAATACAGTCCTGCATTAAAAGAGGGATTGTAGCAAGGGTTAAAAGAATAATACTACCACTGTATAAATCACTAGTTCAGCCTCATCTTGAGTATGTGGTACAGTTTTGGTCACCAACTCTTAGGAAGGATGTCCTTGAGCTTGAGAGAGTTCAAAGAAGGGCTACAAAATGAATTAAAGGGATAGAAGGCCTGAGCTATAAAGACTGCCTCCAACAATTAAACTTATTCTCCTTAGAAAAGAGACGTTTAAGAGGAGACTTTATTGCAGTCTTCAAAATCATTAATGGGGATCACAATATTTGAAATAGGTTGTTTTCACCAAGAACAGTACTGAGAACATACGGACACAACAAGAGGTTAGAAGAGAGGCGGTTCAATTTAGGAACGCGCAAGGTTTTTTTTTTACTGTATGAGTAGTAAAAACTTGGAACTCCCTTCCACAGGCAGTGGTATCTGCTGATAACAGAGATAAGTTTAAGAAACTTCTGGATGAGTTCCTTCAGACACTAAATATACAAGGTTTTAGGAAGTGTTAACTACACAGATGCATACACACACACACACACATAGGTTGAACTGGATGGACCTTAGTCTTTATTCAACCTCACCTACTATGTTACTATACTATGTAGATGCCACAACAACCACCTGAATCCAATGGGTGAATATAGCTTTATGTCCCGGACATTTATCCATTTGATTTAATTATGTGTTTTCAACACTGAAACAGGAAAAAAAAACGATCAAAGACTAAAAAAAGGCTTATATATTTACAGAATGTAGAAACAAATGCATCAAGAGAACTATACAAATATGTATGACGAAAAAAAGAGAAGGCCAAACAGAAATCCATTTGTTTCCAAGACAACCCTGAGCTGTCCCTTTCCTGCCCTCTTTTGCTGTAAACAAGTGGTAGGGGAACAAAACAAGTTGAATTCTTTCAGCAGTATAAAATAGGTCTGCACAACCTTTTGAAATCTTTCAAGGCTGAAAACATTTTAGATGTCCTAACAACTGCCTGCCTCTGATGCGTGAATATAGCTTGTTGTCCAAAGACTGGGACATATTTCTCTTGTTCCATTATAACTCTCTGTGGGCATTAATTAAAGCTTTGAGAGCATGAGATTTTTTGAAGAGAGGCGGTTTCTGAATTCTATTCTGTGAGTGGCCTATCATAAGACTGGCTCCTGTATTACCATTTAAAAAGACAGCTGTGTAAAACTCTTGACCAGACTTGGATCTTTTGGGATTGAAGAGCTGAATGTGCTTCCTGCATGGCACTTGAGCATTGCTTCTTTTGCTTCCAAATGAGCTTCTGCTACCAAGCACTTATTCATTTTCATGGAAACTTCATGGTTGTTTGGACAACAAGTTTCACCATTACAATGATAGATTTTCAAAGATCTTTAGAAAAGTTACTTGTTGAAAATGTGTTTTCCAGTTTCCATTCAGTCTACCAAAGTCTATTCTCTTTTAGGGTAGAGGAGGTTCATTGAATTCTTACGTACTAGCTGTCTTTTTAACATTGAGATGATTCCTACATTTTTCTAATGTTAATGAAAGCTGAGAATATTTTAATACAATATTTTAAAACAGGCTGCACAAAAATAAATTTTCATGGTTAAACCTGTGTTTATTTTAACACAAGTAAAAATCAAATACAACAAGCAGTAGTAAGCAATTAAATTAACAACAACATCCACGTGGGTCATTTAGTATTAGTACATAATTACATTTAATTTGTTTTTTGACATGTGCTATGTAACCTTTAAACTAAAGCTTAACCAAGTAATCAGGTTAATACAGTTAAAAGTGAGGGCGCAAAGCTAAGGAGGGTTATCTAGTAATAGATAAGGAGGGTTATCTAGCTGGGCTGAACGTTGCCAGAGGAACGGCAAATTAAATAGTGTACTTACTAGAGTGGGTCTGAGGATCGGATGAGGACCGGTCTGTGGGAGGATCGTGAAGTCCAAGATATGTGTTTTCAATGGAGGCTGGTGTACTGCCTGAGGCTACTCATCTCGAGCAGGTGAGAGACGGAGAGGAGGGAGGGGGAGGCGGGTGGCAGCGCTAATATATTGTCCGTATCCCCGCTGCTGTGGTGTGAAGTACCGGCGGTGTACACGGTAGTGTCTGACTGGGCTGCTGTGGCTGCAGCTGTGGGTAGTGCGACTGAGTCTATGTGTGGACCGGGGCTTGACAAGTACCCGGGCATTAATAGTGTGTTGGTTCAAAGTCAGCCGGGAAGCTGACAAGGTGATGGGTGATCAAGTCAGTGTAGTCAAAGTGGAGGATCGGGAGCAACGCGTTTCGAGGTTAAGACCTCTTTCTCAAGCTCAACAGGAATGGTATTACGGCGGCGGGAATCCGCCGGTTTAAATGTGACAGCTGGGCGGGGTTTGGAGGCAATGGGCGGTAAAGACGCGATTTGAAGCTATTCGGCCTCAATGTGTATTTGCAAATTGCGTGTGTACTTTAAAATAGGCTGGAAGGGTTGAACAGTACATAAATTCGTAAGAAAGGAGTATAGGGAAATGAAAAATAATGATATTAGAACGAAACATGGGCATCAAAGCTGTGGGTGGATCTTTGTAAAAGGCATTGTAATTGACATGAAATACGATCTATTTGGAAAAAGATCTAAATATGAGCTTTATTTTACAAGTGGGTAGAACAATGATTTGGGAGATTGATTGTAATGTGCTGAATCTAAATTCACAATTATGCATAAAGGGGGGCCAATGTAAGTTAATGGGAACTAGAAATGGGGCTGCTAAAATTAAGCCTGTATTAGGAATGGTCCTTATAAGGAATGGATAAAACGGTTTATTTATTAATCATGGTAAAAAAGGAAATGATAAAAGGTGGGAATTAAACAAGGTTCAAATCTAAAAAAGAACACAACTAATGAAAATTGAATTTAACATTTATAAAATTGTATGTGAAAAATTAGAAATTGAAGAATAAAAAATAAAAAATGAAGAATAAAAAATATATAATATGAGCACACATTAATGTCTGTCTAGGCCTGCTGTTTTATGCGGTTGAGGCTGATATTATTACGTTCTTGTGTATGGCCTGTGCTCATGGTGGGGGACACTGAAAGTATAAGGGACCATTGAGTCCGTGTGTCCGGAGCCCTGAGTGGGCATCGATGGGTTATAAAATAGTAAATAGTAAAAATTTATAATTCCTTGTTTAGTCCTGTTGGAGCGAGGGTATTAAGTTTATAGATCCAAAAAGTTTCTTGTCTGCATTGTTTTTGGAAACGCTCAGCTGGGGAAAAGTGGTCAGGAATGTGTTCTATGGCGAATACACGTAAATCCTGAATGCGTTTGCCGTGTTTTATGGCGAAATGTCTGGGGACACTGTGATCACAGTTGCCATCGGCGATGAAGCGATGAGGCCGAATAGCTTCAAATCGCGTCTTTACCGCCCATTGCCTCCAAACCCCGCCCAGCTGTCACATTTAAACCGGCGGATTCCCGCCGCCGTAATAGGAATAAGCTTCCTGCATCTGATATGAAGCAGCTGATGCAAGCTGTTAAAGTGACACAAAATTCAGGGGTTAAAGCTTAAAAATGCATTTAAATACCTCAACTTTTAATAAAAAATAATCTTATTTGTGTATCACTCAGCTGTAGATCCTCAAATCATTTCTACATTGGTTCTGACACTGTCCTTCCTGCTGGAGGCTGGCTACTTTTGTTCCACATGGTCCCTGTGTGTGTTGTAAAGTAGCCACAGCTCCAAGCTCACTCTTGGGATAGACTGTGTGATTATGAATTATATACTATAATCTCACATTTAGTTTACTAATTTGTATCAAGATTGTAGTCCATCCCAGGAACGAGCATGGAGCGGTGGCTACTTGACAACACACACAAGGATCATGGGGAACAAAATTAACTACCCTCCAGAAGGAAGGACAGTGTCAGCATCAATTCACAGATGGTTTGAGGATCTACAGCTGAGTGATACTCAAATACGCTACATTTATGTTAATAGTTAGGATACTTGAATGTATTTTTAAGATTTAACTCGTGAGTTTAGGGTCACCAATCTAAAATCTATTCCTTTAAACATCTCTGGTGGGACCAAATCAAATGTTTACTTGCCTTGTTATTAAAAGAACCCCAATTGAGTTTTTCATGACTTCCATTGTCTCTGGAATTAAAGAGTTGTATTAAAAAATAACATTTGTCTAGCTTATTATAATTCTATTGTTAAAAAATAACTAATGTTCCGCAGTAAAAAATTGTTTGGAGGTGTTTTTTTGCCAAAAAAAAAAAAAATGTTCCCTACCTCTCAGTCATCTTTTACTTTTCATGTACCCTGTGTGGAACTCCTGAGGACTCACATCATCAGTGGCTGCTCAATAACCAAAGAGAAGTGTGGGACCTAAAAGATGGCGGGAGCGGGGGACAGAGTGGCAATTCAGTAATTTATCAAGCGCCAATTCCCAATGAGACAAATTGGCCGTTTTAAATAAGTAAGGATAATCAATTGTCAGAGAGAGAGAAAGACATATAGAGAGAGATGGAGAGGATACTGCAGAACTCATGTATTTTTGCCAAGGATGTGGTTTTGTCATAAACATGTGACAGCTTACTATAGTGAACTGTGGTTATAACATCACATTCCTACATATTTGTATACAGCAACCTTCCATTTAGTTAATGAGGACCTGTGTTCTACAGGAAAACTCCTGGAAAGGAAAATATTGATTTTCCACAACAGCCAATATATGCCTGTGGTGATTTTTTTTTCATCTTTCTTTTTATGCTTTTAATCTTAACTTTATTTATTTATTTTGTAAAAGTTATATATATTTTATTGTAGTAATATTTGATTCAAATGTATTTTTCATTCATACTATTCCAATGAAATCATACAGTATGTAAAATGTATTTTACATATGGGTGGCACTGCATCATACAGGGATTATATTTTTAACTAGATCATGCATACAAAGTTATCTTAACATAGAATGACAGCACATTTGCCTTTAATATATTGTTTTTCTGATCCCTTGGAACCTTTGTTATGGTAATTTTATTGATCTAATGTGTCAGAAGTTTTTTAGTTGCAACCAATCTGAACCTGACAACACCTGAAAATATGTAATTATCCCACACTAGCATTTTTCTTTACATAAAGTGGGTTCTTATCTTGTAAGAAAACATATAATAAGCACAGTATATTCATATAAAGGGCCACAGAGTTTTATTTTAATCTGTAAAATAACATCCAAACTACTGGATATTATTCTTTTGACCTTTTAAAAACGGACATGCCACGGTCCACAAGCCTTGGGGGTTTCCTAAAAGTAGCTTAAAAAGGCCTTTTCCATCCAATATTCTTGCTAAGCACAACTTCTAAACTTCCGGAGCTGTCCAGACTCCAGAACACTCCTGAAAATAATGCGCAGACATCAACTGTAGGTAGTGTAAAGAATGGCAAAGGTTACTAATGTGTCCATCAGCAAATCAATTAATAAATCACTCACTGTGCTATAATCACATTT